TTCAGATACGCACCAGATACGGATGCCATCCTGATACTCATTCAAAGACAGCTTTCAGATACAGTTCAGATACGCTCCAGATACGGATGTCATCTTGTTACTCATTCAGATTCAGACTTCAGATACAGTTCAGATACGCTCCAGACACGGACGCCGTTTTGACACTCAAACACTCTTGGATGGCATCTACAATCCCATCCCCAACAAGATTCTATCACCTCTCCAAATGGAATCTTTAAGCCCATTCTTTCAACCGCGCGTCGCCGAGTGCAAATTTCTGGGCACTCTAGTGTCCAATCATTCTCTCACCTTCAAGTCACGAATGGCAAAACTCGCCAATCGAACTCTTCAGGTTTAAGAAGATTGAATAGGGGCAACTGTTGTACCCCAAAATTTTCCCTCTCATTTCTCAAGGATTTTCTCACAAGATCTTCTATGACATCAAGTTTGCAGCACTGATACATCAATTTAGGCTTGGAATTGGCAAAAGGGCAAAATGGTCAATTGCATACTAGAATGTCAAACTTTGACTTTTTGGTCAACATTACATTCCAAGGATCAAATTTCATCAAGACATTCAAAAATATGAAACTTGATCATCAAGAAATCAAGAAAGTCAAAAGTCAATGTGAAAGTTCAAACCCTTCAAGACTTAGAAATTTTTCTAAGTGTTTTTTATACGTGATAATCTCATTTCTTCATGCCAACTTTTCACCTTGATGGAAGATGATTCAATGGAAGCTTCCAACATGAAAGTTGTAGATCTCCATGATATCTACAACATTTATTTACACAACTTCTCCTAAACAGGCATGGATTTCAGGTTATAAATTCATGAAGTCATGACATTTTCATTTAAACACTTAGAGAAATTTTCAGCAGTTTTGGTCAGGTTTTTATCCCAACTTCTTGCCCATTTTTCATCAAGTTCCAGTTTGATTTAACAAAAGTGACCAACATGAGAGTTATAGAGGGTGTTTCAAGCTTTCCGAAACATCCAAGAGCATGAATTTATCTTATTTGAGTTAGGAGATACGAGGATCTGAAGTTGGACATTCATTCTTGATTTACAAGGCAGATTTGGGATGAACAAGGAACAAGAATCTTAACCCATGCTACATAATCTCCAATTTGCAGGCCTTGTGACTTGCAACTCTTACCATAATTTAATGCTTACACAAACTTTTGAGCTATGGTCCATTGGGTTTAAGCATTATTCAAGTGATCTTTCTATTTTTGGCACAAAGGCACCATTGCCATTCTTGTAAAGTTCACTTTAATCATAAAGTCAATTTCTTGAGCCTCTAACTTGTTGTTCTAATCACACACAAATCAGAAGGGAATGCTTAAAGTGTACAACATCTCTATGCAACAAAGTACAAAGCATTGGAACTACAATATTCAAGCTTGCTTCATGTACAATCTAACCTAGCCATAACATGTGATTAAAAATCTGAGTTTTCAAATCTCAAACCTTCTCTATAAATAGAGAGGCCAGTTACAAGAGAAAGAGGTTGAAAAAACAGGTTGGAAAAGAGTTTTAAAAATAGAGTAAACGGCCAGTAGTTTTATTAATAAACCTTCAAAAAAAGCCATAACAGACCCTAAGACTTCCACTCTTGAGTTTTGAAGTCTAAACCTTAAAACCTCTCACACTTTGCATATTCCATCTAAAAACCATCCAAACATTTCATACCACACATAGGTTGTTTAATAACCTTCAACAAAAAGGAAAGTCTAGCAGCCTGTTGGAGCTTCCTTAAGGTTCATACAACATCTTGAAGGGCATTTAGACTCAAAACTTAAAGTGCAGTTTCAAGGTAAGTCATCTTTACCTTGCCTTTTCCATACATCAACTTTTCTGTTTATAGGATGTAGCAATCATTATTCTTGAAGTTAATCATTTATTTGTTATTCCTGTTATTCATTCATGTGTTAAAAACTAACTGATGTATGCAAAGAATGGTGTTTACGGCAGAAAAATGCAATATGTATCGATATATATCCACATGTGTCGACCCATCTTAGTGAAAATACAGGGTATGAGTCAACACATGACCCTCATGCATCGACCCATACTGAGTTCAGGTCACAAAACAGAAACTGGAAAGGACTATGAGTCGACACATACGCATTTCGCGTCGATGCAAAGATGTGTATGAGTCGATACATCCCATTATGTGTCGACTCATACTGAACAAATTTCACTTTATAGGGGAAAAGAGAAGCTATGTGTCGATGCATAGCAGCATGGGTCGACACATAGCAGTTCAAAAGTGCATTTTTCCTTTATTTTGCACTGTTTTCATATTCTTTTTATTATCATTCGATATGGTTGTAATATTTTAGTTCCTACTTCACCCCCATTGCTAAATTGTACCCCCACCCCCTAAAGGGATGTAATAGCTTAGATTTTACTTTCCGCTTTTTACTTGCTTCTCATATATTGCTAGTAAATAAGTGTGTATGACAAGATAAAAACAACAAATAGACAATCCTAATCAAAGACAAAACGCATGCAAATAACACACTTGCACACAAGCATCCTTAGGGTTTCTCCACTTGGTTACCTTATACAAAAATAGCCATGTTACGCATGCGAAGTATCTTGGCAAAACAAACAAATATAAGATCATAGTCACTCGATGACGCTATTCAAGGTTGCCTTACAAAATGATCTTGGTCCCTCAAAATGCTAAGATACTTTGCAAATATTGCTAATCATGGTTATACGATGACCCACGGCCGTCCCGTTAACATCCAAAGATAGAGTTGCTTACCAAATCAATGGTAAGGCAACAATGTCAAAAGAATATAAAATGAACAAGAAAGACATTTGAGTAGGTAGTTTGCTCTTAATTACTTGCTCCATTTCAAAACAAATTATCCTTGCTATTTTCAAAACAAACACACACATTTCAAAACATCTTACAAAAATTGAAAACATTTTCAAAAAGACAAACATCTTTGTATACATCCTTACGAACGAGAATCATTACAAAGATTGCCTAAACAATGGCCTCTTTTACAAAATACTTTCAAAAATCCACATGAAGCATAATTTCAAACAAAAGCAAGTGATCTATCAAGTAACTAAGAGCCCATGGAAAACCATGGATGAAAAGGGGTGATAATACCTTCACTTTTCATAATCTACCCCCCGAACTCAAGAAACAATCTCAAAGGTCTTTCCTGTGCTTTTTCACCTTTCCTTTTGGATAAAAGAAAAGTCGGTGGCGACTCTTGCTAAAACCGCAACATTTGCGAAAAGAAACGCAAAATCCTCAAGTCAATTCTCCCACCGTATCACACTTCGCTAAACGAATTCCTTGCTTCTGTGATAAGTTTTCAAATCAACTTGGCAACTTGAGTACGCCAAAGTTTACTAAGCAAAGTTTGGCTCGCTTAGCGAAGTTGATTTCTTTGTCCTTAAGCTTTTTCAAATATCTTCCATAAACTGCCAAAGTTTGCTAAGCGATGTGAGGCTCGCTTAGCGAAGTTGCTTTCTTTAGCCTAAAGTCTTCAATATATCTTCCCTTGACCGCCCTGTTTCGCTAAGCAAAGTGATACTCGCTTAGCGAAGTTGCTTTCTTCAGCCTGAAGTCTTTTTGACCGCCCTGTTTCACTAAGCCAGAGCCCAATTCACTAGGTGAACTGCTTCGCTTCTCCTCGCTGCTCGCGAAACTTGCTGATTTTCTTATATCTTGTGTTCGCTACGCAAACTATTCCTCGCTAAACAAATTTGTCTATTTGCTACTGCTCGCTTAGCGAAGTGTTTGTTAGCTGGTTTTTTCTTTAAGGACCAAATCCTACACAAAACAAACCAAACCAAGTAGACTTACATAATAATATTAATATTCAATATTTGAGGTTTTTATGTTATAATCTAGACACTTAAGTAAGATAATTGATATGTTTTAATAGGATATTTTAACATGAATTAAGCATTTATCAGCAGGCTGGGTGGGAGGTGTTACATCATGCTCCATGGCGGTACCTGCATTAGTGTTAGCAAAAATGGAGTCGTCGTCTTCCTCGAATGAATTACTCAGAGAATCGACGACTGTCGTATACAACCAGTTTCTAAAAACATCAACCCGTGTTTTTCTTGGATTGGGCAAGTCAAGAATGGGTGAGCCACCCATCATCAAAGTGTAGGTGTTTCCCTCGCAATGTAACATACCTTAAATAATGAGGGATTCCAAGTCTATTTTATTTCGCCCTTCAACAATACAGTCATTCTCAAGGTTAAATTCAAGGCCTAGGTGCTCATCGATGAGAGTGATCAAACCTCCCACCAAGATAACACCGGAGGTGGCTCGTGCAACATGTCCTAAATAATTTGCTGCAAATTCGGCAACATTAATAAGCTCATTATTAACCATGGAATGCATGAAAAAAAGTTTTCTTTGGAAAGCAACACCAGTGCTATCGCCTCGGCCAAACAAAGTGCATGCCAATGCTTTCTGCATGTAACGGAAAACCAGATTTTGAATTCTAGAGGCCTTGGCATTTGCGCAGTATAATCATGGCAACCAGTGATCGCAGCCCAAAATTTGGCAAAATCAAGCCCTTGTGGGACATCTCTGGGGCTATAGACAGGAATCCGGAGGATTTCTCCTAAATCTTCAACGCTCAATTGGAGGTCTTGCTCAAACAAACGGAAATAGAGGGTGCCAAAATAGCATGTGACCTAAGCCATTCCTCAAATTTAAAATAAAGTTGTTAAACTAGAAGTTAGCTTAGCCAAGTTGTTCCAACGCAGCTTTCACAAAAAAGAATTCCACTAATCAAGAATGAGTATAACAAGTATGTTTTAGCCTAAATTAGAAGTATTTTATTTTTGCTGAACAAAATAATTAAATTAAAACAACTGAAATTCCTTAAAATGTTGTAAAATAGCATGAAAGTTTCTAAAACATTAACAACCTCAATTATTATAGTATTATTATAATTTATAGTGCATTATTTTTGTCAAAAGAAAAGTGTGGTTAATTGTATCAATGAGCTGCAACAATGCCATTGTGCCTGAGCAATGCATCTGGTGTTGGTTCTCTCCCACGGAATTGCACAAACACCTGCATACATGTTCAACACACATTAACGTGGTAACATTACTAGTTACTCCGATTATTCATTTGTGATGTGTTTTGGACTATCTTGCATTAACAAACAAATTCTACAAAACAAATGAAGAGGTTTTGTAATGTAATGTAATGTGTATCTGAATTCTCACCTCCAGCGCTGGTTTGCCACCTCCAAGAGCAAGAACAGTCTCCCGGAATTTGCGACCCATTTCTATAACAGCCTGGGTAAGTGCAAGTATATAATAATTAATACTCTAAAAAATAAATATAAATAGGGTCTCAAAACAAGATAAGCTATGTTGTATTTTTTTCTTTCGATTATAAATAACAAAAATAGATTGAAGACAGATGTATGAACTTTTAGAGGCCTAAATAGAAAAGCAAATCCTTATTGACAGTTTTTCTTAATCTAAGTAATATACCTTTTTATCATCCAACCCTGCATCCTCAAATGCAGAGAAAGCATCTGCAGACAACACTTCAGCCCACTGCATAACAGACAAATTTTCCATGAGAAACAAAATAAAATAAGCTTCATAGCCATGATGAGATGATATCTTCAATTATATCAAGCAAAATGTCTATAATTATAACCTTGTAGCTGTAGTATCCAGCTGCATATCCACCTGACAAATGCAAAATAACCTTAAAAGACATACATAAAGGAACCCATGGAGTATCAAAGAGGTATAAGAGGCATAGCAAACCTCCAAACATATGAAAATCCCTGCAAAGGAACCTATCCTCTGGCAATCGAGGAGTCACTAGATTTTTCTTGGATATTCTGTGGTAAAAATCATGGATGGACTCTGGTCCCCCAGGAACATATTTTGTATGGACATCCAGATCTACAGTTGCAATATTTAACTGCAAGGAATGTATATTACAATGTAAGTCATTTATTTAACACAACACAAGAAAGAGAAAGGTTAGAATCAGCATTAAAAACTAGAAACACTTGATAGAATATTGAAAAGAGTCAATAACATCTTAAATAAGTTTGTTCCGTCCTTCAGAAATACACAACAAAAGAAAGGGTGGAAAAACAACTTGAGGTTTAGAAAAAGAACCAAATACAATTTATACAGGAAGAAAAAGAACCTAAGAACTATTTTGGAATAGAAAAGAAAGAACGGGATGGGAAAACCCGAAAGTAGCAAAACTGATGTAGAATGCTTAGATTCCTCCAAATCCACAAAGAAAAAGAATAGTTTAGAATATACATAATTAGGTCAAGAACTTGAAACAAAGTACATATTGAATGCATATAAAACCACAAGATGCTATTGCAAACGAGTCAAAGACATACGTCTATGAGCAAAGAGGAAATATGATAGAGTCGGAGAGGGGAATTGCAGAGGTGGCGTTTCTAGTCACTCACATGGTGCACCTAGAGTGTGGAGGGTGTAGGCTAGAAATACTAAAAAGTGAGAGAAGGGTAGCTGAGCGGTGACGGCGGGGAATGCGTGAGCCTCTATTCCGTATACGAGGGAGAGGCTGGTTAGGGCTGAGGTCATGCTTGGATATTCTGTTAGTAAAGTGCAGAGAGTAGATTATCTTTGAAGTTAGTGAGTTTAGTTCTCACGAGTAGAAGGAAGAGTTGTTTCCTCTGTTCGTTTCCACTTTGACTGCCTATCAAAATATGAATTTCAATTCAAATGAAAAGATACAAAACATGTAGTTGATCAATACACTAACCTGTTGAAGACCTTGAGAGCCAGCACAATAAGTTCTAGCAGCAACAAGCTTCAAATATACTTCTTCTGGAAGAGCCTCCCCAGTTTCAAAATGTTTAGCAATGCCCATTAAAGTCTCTCTAAATCAAAAAAAAAAATGACAAATATAAAACATACTTGATATTCAGGTTAAAAAATATGTCACTTTACAACAAAAAAAAAGGATCAAAGTAACATATGTGTCAGACTAAGTTTATATGGATTTATTTATTATATTTCTTTCCACTCACTTACTCTTATTTATTGTATTTTAAATCATGAATCTACTCCATTACCTATTATTAATAAGATTATTTTAGTAAATAACATTTGTTTTATCATTGAAATCAACACAAATTATTGTTAATCATTATCGTAATAAGTGTGAAAATTTGAAAGAGGACGGAAGGAGTACTTATGGTAACACCAGTTTTCCATAAACTGAGAAGGTAATTCAATAGCATCCAACTCTATTCCCCTAATACCAGAAACTAGACCCTCGTCTTCCTTAGTAAGTATATGTTGAAGTACGTGACCGAATTCATGGAATACAGTCTCAACCTGCGAAAAAGGAGACAACAAAAAACTGTAGTTTGTGAACTGGTTTGGTTTTTTAATGATTAATAAGGAAACAATTTAGTTACTACAGCTCAGTCTCAATCTCCACATCAAACATGAAAGAGTAGTTTAACACCAGGCAGAAAGACAAGTGAATCTCGAAAGTTTGCAAGTATAACTTTGTATGCTACACTCAACATGAGTTTTCAATTATATTAACTATCATATTCAAATATCTAATCATGTTAAGACCAGACACTGCTACAAGCAATTAGTGCTCCCATTAATATAGCTCAGGAAACTATTCATTATTACACAAATGATCATTGCTTAAAGTAAAATATGGGTTACCTCAGAGAATGTCATTAAACTTGGCTTGCTTCCTACTGGAGGTGTTTGATTGCACACCAATTGGGCAACAGGCAACCTTGATGAGGTACCATCTGGTGACAGTACACGACTACGAGAAACAACTACGTCCATCCATGCGCCTTGCCTTTTTTCAAAAGGACGACTGTAGGGATCAAAATAGAAATACGCAACTGGACTACCTGAAGAATCTTTAACACGAAAGAACTTAACATCTTTATCCCAAACCTGAATAACAATAAACACGAGTCACAAAGTTTATTATAGATGCTATCCAATACAAGCACCACAGCTAAGCAAAAGGGAATTTGATTACCGGAGCTAGACCATCAGCTGGCTCAACTTCAATGCCAAAAAGTGTTTTTGCAAGGTCAAAGAGTCCATTCATAACACTTGGCAATGAGAAAAACGGACGCAGTTCTTCCTATGAGACAAGAGTAGCAGATGTATTATGCATGAGCTTTCCTAGGTAGATCAAAAGTTTCAATAACAAAGGAAAAACTGCAAGTAATAAAATCTTGTAATGCTTAGTAAAGTAGCCAATGGACTATCGGGTGGGACTGGTAGGAATGAACTTTCGTATGTGGTTGACTAAAAAAAAGAATACCTGATAGAATGTCAAAAGTACAACGAGCAGTATTAAGGAGCTTCCCTTTAATTATGATGTTTATATCATTATTTAAATAGTTTTAGAGAGAAAACGATTGTTCATTGACAAAAAAAATCATACGTAGGAGGAAACAAATTAATGGAAATAAAAGAATTAGATCCTTCGTGATATGCAACAGTGTTGTCGATGGCGGATGGCGGTCCATGGTGGAGAGCCAAAATCCCGCCATACCTACAGCTTTGCGGCACAGTTATAATGGATTATGGTGGAGAAACCCACAATATCGGCCGATATTTACCATTGCGGATAGCCCAAAAACCGCCATGTATATCGGCTGATATTTACCATTGATAACACTGATATGCAATAACATTACAAGGTACAAATCCTTCTAACAGGGTCCAAACTAAAATCGTATGTTCTTAAAGTATCATTTCAAAATGATGACAGAGTGAGTGAACAACCTCGTTAATGTCATATTTTGATTCACGAAGCCTCTCACTCCAAAACCAATTGTCCCAATGTGTCAAATCATCAGCTTCCAATGCACCCTGGTCTTTTGTGAATTTCTTAAGGTCTTCCCGATCTGCATGGAAAAAAAAATAGATCATCTAAATTATTGCCTCATTAGAGGAAGATGGACATTGTACATACAAAAATAAATAAATAAATGCAGAATTACATGTAAGATATTGATGGAAACTGGCACTGAACAGAAATAATTTGGAGAATAGGGATACTTTATTGATGATAATTCTGGTGGACAATCAAAGGACCAGAATAATATGCTTACAATAGTTATAGAAAATAGTGCAGAATATTAGGACACACACCAAGACTCGAGAGTTTGGTTCTCTCCCTCCCAAGTGTCTAACACTCACAACTTCAGGATGATCAGAACACAGTTCTGTTTCCCCTTTTATTCTGCCTAGGTTTTGTAAGTGTTCCTAATATTAATTGTTACTCTAGTAATAATAATAACTGATGCCTTTAGAAATCTGTAACTGCTACAGATGCCATTAACATGACTGCTTATCTGCCTGTGCTGCTATTACTTGACAGCATTTATCTTGCTTTATTGGTGCTCTTTCCTCTTATAAGTATTCTTTATGAGGGGTCTAGCAGATATATGTCATATTTATTAGCTGTTGAAAGATTGGAATCCCACAAAAGTCAAAAACAAATTTATTTGTTTGCTGTATTGAAGTAGTCAATGACAATATTGAGCTAACTCATTGTATACCGAATGCACTCTCCCCATATATGTAAGTAACTGAAAAAACTGCATACAATTTAAATCATAATGCAAATACTACACCATAGACACAACATATACACTACCTTGTACTGCAGCATCCCAGGAGGCTCTACGAAGCTTTTCTATAAGTTCTTCTGCTTTATCAACAGTTGCCATTTTGGTTGCCATGCTAACCTGAAAGATAACACATCAACAACCTACATAGAATTATGTTCTTAATAATGAAAGAGTCATACCTCAGCAAAGTTATTGTAGTTGAGAAGCTTGGCCTTTTCCAACCTAAGCTTTAAAATTTGCTCAATTAGTCCAGTATTATCCAAATCTCCACTAGATGCCTGTGTTATATTCGCACGGTAGAGTTCCTCACGCAAAGAACTATTGCGAGCATGTAGCATAACGGCAAAATAACTTGGATCATCCAATGTAATTACCCATGGCCCATTCTCAGCGGTGGCATTTTCATGCCCCTGCATTTTTTCATCAAGTAATCTAAACTCAAAAAGATAGCCTGATTGTCATAACTTGAGAATAATAACATGTCAACATAATTTACCTTGGATGCTGCAGTTTGTGCAGCCAACCCAAGAGCAGTAGCAGGTAATCCTTCAATCTCTTTCTTATCTTTAATGAGCTTTTCGAACTGTTTGGTTGCATCCAAAACGTTCTCCCGAAATTTTTCTGATAATCTTTCCAGCTCCTACAGATGAAACAGTGACAAAAAATATTAAAAATAAATACAACTAAAAGAAAACATCATCACTTGAATTTCATTTAGTTATGGTGTACAATCACTTTGCATTTGGAATTTTAGCACATGTGTATATGTAGATTCATTAAATCAAATCTCATCACTACATTTGGTTTGTTAATGAACCAGTTCATGTTGCTTGTCCTACTTAGAATTACAAACTCGTGATCTCAATTTCCACCATAGTCTGAAAATAGGATATGCCCAGTTACCCAAAGCCTAGTACATAATCACTGTAAATGGTGGTAAACTGGGAATCAATTAGCATGGACTATATTAATAACCACAGTTTACATTTGTTTTTAGTTAAAATAGCATGGACTATATTAATTGTTGAATAAACAATAAATGTGTTAGTAATAAAGTTTTACATTAAACATGATAGTAGGAAGAACAAAAGTTTTAGTAAGTTATTAGTAGCAGTTATGTTTTAGAATTGTAAAAGCTATTTGGGTCTATAAAAGACCAAGAGTGTATTTTATTTTACAAGAGTAATATACAAGTTTTGATCTGAAGTCTGATTCGATTTTAACAATTTGGTATCAGAGCTCATGGCAAACATGATGAATCAAATGTCGTTGCCACGACTAACGAAGTCTAATTATGAAAACTGGAGTATCCAAATGAAAGCTCTTCTTAGATCTCTAGACGCGTGGGAAGTGACCAATGATGGGTTTGAAGAACCAACAGAAGTTGGGGGATATACGGCAGCTCAAACAAAGACGTTGAAAGAGACGCGATCGAAGGACAAAACGGCATTATACATGTTGTTCAGGGCTGTAGATGAATCAGGCTTCGAGAAAATTGTTGGTTCGACTACGTCGAAACAAGCGTGGGACACGTTAGAAAAAGTGTTCAAAGGAGCAGATCGAGTGAAGCAAGTTCGACTCCAAACTCTCCGTGGCGAATTGGAGAGGATACAGATGAAGGATACAAAAATTGTATCTGACTACATCACACGTGTGCAAAAGGTGGTGAATCAACTCACCAGAAATAGAGAGACAGTACCTGATGCACGAGTTGTTGAAAAGATCTTGAGATCTTTAACAGACAAGTTTGAAAATATTGTATGTGCAATAGAAGAGTCGAAGGACCTTTCGACGCTCTCAATCGAAGAGCTCGCTGGTTCTCTCGAAGCACATGAACAACGAAAGATGAAAAAGAAAGAAGAAGCAGACGAAGAAGCAAACCAAACCAAGGAATCGAACAAAGACGAAAAGGTACTCTTTTCTCACAACTTTCGAGGAAGAGGACGTGGACGTGGAGGTCGTGACAGTGGTCGAAGTGGTAGAGGTAGCAACTTCGAAAGAGGACAATCGAGCCAACAAAATTGGCGTGGCAGAGGACGTGGTCAAAGAGGTGGTCGTTCGAATTATTCAAACTTCGAATGCTACAAGTGTGGGAAGTATGGTCATTATGCGAAGGATTGTAACTCCTACAAATGTTACAACTGTGACAAAGTGGGACATCTTGCAAAAGACTGTCGAATCGAAAAGAAGATTGAAGAAACAACCAACCTAGCCTTAGAAGCTGAATCGAATGAAGGCTTTCTCCTGATGGCTCAAAACGAAATCAACACCAATGACAGTGTTTGGTATCTTGACTCAGGAGCAAGTAATCACATGTGTGGTTACAAACACCTGTTTAAAGATATGAAGAGAATTGAAGATGGTAATGTGTCTTTTGGAGATGCATCGAAAGTGAAGGTCGAAGGAAATGGCACAATCAGTTACTTGCAGAAGGATGGCTTGACTGGATCAATCGAAGACGTTTACTATGTACCAGATCTCAAGACCAACATATTAAGTCTGGGACAACTTACAGAAAAAGGTGCTTCGATACTGATGAAAGATCGAACACTGCATTTGAAGGACAAAGCAGGATATCTGATTGCCGCTGTCGAAATGGAAAGAAATCGAATGTACAAACTGAACCTGAGGAACATTCGAGAGAAATGTCTGCAAATCGAAGTGCAAGACAAAGCGTCACTATGGCATATGCGCTTTGGTCATCTACATCATGCTGGTTTGAGAAGGTTGGCGAAAAGGAACATGGTGCATGGACTACCAGACATGGATTTCGAAGGAAAATTCTGTGAAGAATGTGTGCTCAGCAAACAAACAAGAACCTCATTTCAAAGGAAGGCAGAGTATCAAGCTAAACATATTCTCGAATTGATACATACTGACATATGTGGGTCAATCACTCCATAATCCTTTAGTGGAAAAAGGTACTTCATTTCTTTTATTGATGACTTCTCAAGAAAAACCTGGGTCTACTTCCTGAAAGAAAAGTCTGAAGCATTAGAAGTGTTCAAAAAGTTCAAAGTAATGGTAGAGAAGGCAACAGACAGACACATCAAAGCAATTCGATCTGACAGAGGAGGTGAGTATACTTCAATGGCCTTTGTGAAGTACTGTGAAGAACAGGGCATAAGGAGATTCCTAACTGCACCATATTCACCTCAGCAAAATGGTGTGGCTGAAAGGAAGAATCGAACTATTTTTGACATGGTTCGATCAATGCTCAAAAGCAAGAACATGTCGAAAGAATTTTGGGCAGAAGCAGTACAATGTGCTGTTTATATTCAGAATAGATGTCCACATTCGAAGTTAGAAGACAAAACACCACAAGAAGCATGGAGTGGACAGAAGCCAACAATTTCTCATCTCAAGGTATTTGGTAGTATAGCTTATGCACATGTACCAGATCAACGAAGAACAAAGCTTGAAGACAAAAGTCAGAAGTACATATTCATTGGATATGATGAGAAGACGAAAGGGTACAAGCTCTTCAATCCCATAAGCAAGAAAGTGATCGTGAGCAGAGACGTTCGAATGAACGAAGCAAGCAAGTGGGACTGGAACATTTCGACAGAGGTTGTTGACACAGTCGAAGAAACAACTGTAGCTGTACCAACAAGTATTCCAACAGAACATGAAGAAACAGAAGATGGAGATGAACCTCTACAACCCAAAATGAGAAGTTTGCAAGATTTGTATGATTCAACAAGTGAGGTGCATCTTGTGTGTCTTCTGGCAGATGCTGAAAACATCAGCGTCGAAGAAGCGTTACGAGACAAGAAGTGGAAAAGTGTCATGGACGAAGAGATTAGAGCAATCGAACGCAACAATACTTGGGAGTTAGTCGAATTACCAAAAGGAAGTCAACCCATTGGTGTAAAGTGGGTATTCAAGAAAAAGATGAATGCTCAAGGAGAAATCGAAAGATTCAAAGCACGGCTGGTTGCGAAGGGATACAAACAGAAAGCAGGAATTGACTATGACGAAGTGTTTGCGCCTGTTGCAAGAATGGAGACAATTCGATTACTCATTTCTCAAGCTGCTCAGTTCAAATGGCCAATATTTCAAATGGATGTCAAGACAGCATTTTTGAATGGTGTGCTCGAAGAAGAAATCTATGTCGAACAACCACTTAGATATATGAGAACTGGAGAAGAGAAGAAGGTGTTGAAACTGAAGAAATCACTGTATGGGCTGAAGCAAGCACCTAGGGCATGGAACACACGTATTGACACATATTTCAAAGAGAATGGGTTCGAGCAATGTCCTTATGAACCCGCCCTCTATGTGAAGAAAAATGGAAGTGATTTATTACTTGTTGCTCTCTATGTTGATGACCTTATCTTTCTAGGCAGTGATGTTCAGATGATCAAAGATTTCAAGAGCACCTCTGGATATGTGTTTTTCATGGGAAACACAGCACTTACTTGGCTGTCGAAGAAGCAACCTATAGTAACACTTTCGACGTGTGAAGCTGAATATGTGGCAGCATCCTGGTGCGTCTGTCATGCAGTATGGCTCAGAAGGTTGATAAGCAAGATGGAGCTGAAACAGGAAGATCCAACAATAATACAAGTGGACAATAAATCAGCTATCGAATTGACAAAGAATCCAGTGAATCATGAACGAAGCAAACATATTGATGTTCGATTTCACTTCATTCGTGAACATGTGAAGGAGGGAATTGTCGAATTAAGGCATGTAGCAAGCAGAAACCAAGCAGCGGATATTTTTACAAAACCACTATCAAAAGAGGTCTTCGACAGAGGCAAGAAGATGATAGGAATGCTGGATGGAAGAAACATTTAAGTTTACAGAGGAGTTTTGTTGAATAAACATTAAATGTGTTAGTAATAAAGTTTTACATTAAATATGGTAGTAGGAAGGACAAAAGTTTTAGTAAGTTATTAGTAGCAGTTATGTTTTAGTTTATGTTTTAGAATTGTAAAAGCTATTTGGATCTATAAAAGACCAAGAGTGTATTTTATTTTACAAGAATAATATAGTTTTGATCTGAAGTCTGATTCGATTTTAACATTAATAACCACAGTTTACATTTGTTTTTAGTTGTTAAAATAGCGCACCTGTTCAATTTTGCTAAACCGTTGTCTTTTATCATCTTCAAGAGAAACACCACTAAGAACTGCCTCCTTTATTTGGTCTGCATAGGCATAAATACAATTGTTACAAACAATGTAAATTGAAGGGTTACAATAACAAGTTTGTCTTAAATCCCGTAGAAAGCAAATGGAACAACAGCCTGTTATTTGGCAATTGGCACGAGTTTTATGAGTAAAGTCACAGTTACTTCATATTTCCAGTCAAATATGAACAAGTGAAACACACACAACATTGCTCTTATGATAAATCAGAAAATTAGCAAAAGTAGTGGAACCCTAAATCCGAAAACTTAACACCAGCTACGCATCCAGCACCGTTGACAATTCTCCATCTTCCCAAAAAAATCTAGAAGCTGGGAACCAGCATCAGAACGCAACACAAAGCAATTGAAGCAATCTGTGAATGTAAATTAACAGGGCAATACAATAGCATAAACAACAAGACATTTGGCAACTTACTTTCAACAACTCTCCTGCGAGCATCACTAAGTATGTTCCAATCAGGAGAGTCTTTAATAGCTTTGAATGCATTATAAATAGGCTTGCTTTGGCCCAGTCTAACCTGAAACTTAACTTTTTCTTCCTGCAAAAATTACAGCAATCACAATTCGTAAGAGAAATGAAATACATAGATGACTAAACCCTAAACCCTAAACCCTAAACCCTAAACCCTAAACCCTAAACCCTAAACCCTAAACCCTAAATGACCTGAACATCTTCAATGGCTGAACGGAGATCAGCATTATCCTTAACAGCTTTAAGATGATTGATCATATCCCAAACAACATTCAAGCGATCAAGAATTATCTCCAATGGTTCAACCAATTTAGGCCATGAAGGTTCCACATTCCTTTCAAGTAGCTCTAAATCACGTTCCTACAAAAACACAATGATTCAAAACCAAATAAAAAAATCCAAAAGAAAACAAAAGATAATAGGTTGTTACCAGTTTATTAAGAAGTGTACGAATGGCAGGTCGCACGTGTTTGGGTTCAACAACATCGTAAGGCGGAAACACAAATGGCTGGAGAATGGGATTGCCTTCAACGACAACGTCCATGCTGAAATCAAACAATGCACAAGAGGACAAGGATGGGATTTATTGAATTGTTTAGGGTTCAAAATGGGTAGTCATTATTTTCTTTAATGAATTTTAAATAAAATCATTAATGTTATTGAAACTTTGAAAAAATAAAACTATTATTTTATGTTCGGAAATTAATGTTTTTAAGATTTTGATCTGTGTCAGATTTGTTTTAGAAATTAAATTATTATTTTGTTGTAAGAAAAATCATTTAGTACATTACTGTTATAGACACTTAACTAGGATGGATTTTAGATTGAATAACTATAACAAACAGTACGTGCTTTTCTTGCATTTGGGACTTCTAATTGAATATATTTGAACTTTTGTTTCTTAGACATGCAACTAAGATCTATATTCTGTGTCTCGAGTTGTGGATATTGTCCCATACACAATTTCAGCAATTCCTTAGCTACAAAGTATATTGAAAAGAAAAATCATCATTTAATGTATTCAGATACTTTAGATTTAAGTACATGCTATGAGCATTTAATGAATTTACAATTTAACTATATTAAAAAAAACATTAAGTAACTCAAATACCACGCTCAGAATACTTTTAAATAAAATTAGTCACCATTAAATTTTATTTATTCTAAAAATAAAGAAAAAATATTGAGAAAATCTAAAAATAAATAATAATGGTCAATGCAACCATAGTCAGGTTCGGAAATCGATTATGCAAGGGAATGGAAATAGAAGAGATAATATTATTTTTTATCAAGCTAGAAAAGATAATATAATACAGATAAGTGGAGAACTCCTAGTCAAGTCTACATATACATGTTTCCCTCCTATCCACTTATACATCAGAACATCTCTGCTGCTCTAAAAGTCGATCTCCACTTTTATGGGTCAATCAAGAAATTCACAAACACCTCTTTCTTCACAATACCCATGGCAAACCTAAATATATCAAATATAACATCCCTAACAAAGTCATATATGTAGAATCCTAGAAGCTCCTTGCAATGAATGGTGTGTTTCTCAAATGTATCCAAGAATGCCTTACAGTAAATAGGGCAAAACTTATCAACGAAGAATAAGAGAATCATAAACCGATATTTAAGGATGGTACTGTACTACACCAAAGACATATGTTGGCCTAGATCGTCAATAAAGATAACAAGAAGAAAATCTTGTGCATGTGTTGCTTGCAAACAACCAAAAACTGTTTTTTGTCTTGTGGTCATGTCAAACCTGACATCCATGTCTTAAGCATTTTTATTAAAAAGGGCACTCGCCAAAATATGTTGTACTTTAGGAGGAACAATGTCATTTCTAGTAAAAACCGCTAAGGTCAAAATTTAGAATCACATCACTAAGACTAACCAAAGCTCCATTGAAATCAAGGTTCATACCATATATCTCAATGCATCTTAAAGGGGCGGATCCAGACTTTATATATTGGTGTGGCTAAACATAAAAGAAATTATCGACTAAAATATATTGAAAATACAAAATAGTATTGTTTGATGAAGTGTATTTACAATGAAAACCGTCTAGTATCAATTTCTTGAAAATGAGCTAAAATAACATCATTGTTAATTGTTCCAAGAACATCTCTTTCTATAAAAGTTACAAGACGATCATTTAACCATTGATCACCCATTTTGTTACATAGCTGACTCTTCACAAACTTCATAGCTGAAAAAACACGTTCCACGCTCGCAGTTGCTACTGGCAAGACTAAAGCCAACTTCAGAAGCTTATAAACTATATCAAAAGTGTTGCATTTTTTTGTTTCCATAAGTTTTGCACAAAGATCTGAAAGTCCGTTTAAATTTGCAAATTTTGGATCACATCGAACATTTCTAACATAATTCTGAAGCTGATGTCGTACCGCCACTTCCGGCACATCTACAAAATCATTTGGATAAAGTTCAACCATCCTCAATAATTTTTTCACATCAAAAGATTCAAATGATGATGAGGGACTCAAACATGAAACACATTGTAAAAGTTCAATATTCTCTTCATCAAACCTAGCATTGAGCTCATGCAACTGCAAATCTAAAACACTACATAAACAATCATGCTTATAATGATGCAAATTAGAAACACTAGAAGTGATAGCATGTCGTCTAGGTTTCTTCCCTTGCACGTACGCTGCATCCAAATCAGGCACATCAATATCATGCTTATTGCAAATTTCCATAACCTTAGATATAAGTTCTTCCCATCCATCATTTCTCATTTCTTGTAATTCCTGTTTGGTGGCTTTGACAAGTGATAAAGCATTCAAAAGATCTTGATCACGCTTTTGTAGCACTACACTTAAATCATTTGTAAATCCTAAAATCTCAACCATCATGTATAACATGAAAATAAAATCAAAGGACTGAAGCACATCTAGCAAAAGCATAGTTTCACCATATTTTTCAAATGACGTATCTTTCCCGACTTCTTCAAGTACCTCAATAATGGCACCATATAAAGTCATCAAACTAGTGAGAGTCCTAAAGTGGGAACCCCAACGAGTGTCACCCGCTCTAGTAATAGACGATTCTTGATTTAATCCACTACCAGTCTCTATCTCACCCTCTTCAATCAATTTAGCAAATTGAGATACTTGTTTGTCCCGAAGCAATTCTTGTCTCTTGTTAGAAGACCGTATGAAATTAACAAGCATATTGACCTTACCGAAAAAACCACTAACATCTTTGTGAGTCTTAGCACATGCAACAAGTGCTAATTGAAGTTGATGGGCAAAACAATGCACATAATAAGCTGATGGATTTTCATTTTGAATTAAAGTTCTCAAACCACCAAACTTACCTCGCATATTGCTAGCTCCATCATATCCTTGCCCCCTTATGCTAGATAAACTCAAGCCATTAATAGACAACAACTTCTCAAGTGCCTCCTTAAGTGACTTAGCACTTGTTTCTTTAACACTAACAATCCCAAGAAACCTTTCTTTTACCAAACCATCACTATTAACATAGCGAATAACAACAGCCATTTGTTCTTTACCAGCAACGTCACCGGATTCATCAATCAAAACACATCATCCGCAATATCACATACAATTTGTTTAGTTATTTCACATGCACAAGCAGCAGCAAGATCCTTTTGAATCTTAGGGGCAGTCATAAAGTTATTTCCTGGAGCACAATTTATTACCTTAGCTATCTCTGGGTTAATTTCCTTTAGAGTGTCCACCAACTCAAGAAATGGCCCCTTAAATAAAGAGTTAAAGGACTCGTCACTCCCTCTAAATGGCATGCCACACCTCAAAAGAAACTTAGTAGCTATAAGAGATGTGTTTACACGAACACGATATTCAGAATTCATTTGTTTAGTTTGATTAACAAATGCAGCCTTAATACTTTGGTTTGGGTTCATGAGAGCGTAACTCATATGCACACAATCAATATGACTATTGGAAGAAGTTCCATGATTAGCCAATCTGTGAGAATTCTTCCAATCACCAAACCCCTCTGTCACAAAGTGATCTCTCCCGTATTTAGAGACATTCTTAAACAAAAAACATGGCAAGCAAAATGCCAGGTCCTTAGATTCACTATAATCAATCCAATCATATAAATCAAACCAATTTTTGCAAAATCTATGTCTTTGATTACCTTGAACAGACCAAGGGTAAACAAAATTGTAAGGAGGTTTATGACGACCTATTTTTAAATAAGCTTTCCTTACCTCATTTTGGATGTCAGGATGATAGCTTGAAATTGGAGGCCTAATTCCTGGATCGGTTTCCAACAATTCATAATCGACAACTTTAATACTCTCACTTGGATGTTGAGTTTCCGATGCTTCTAGATTTACCGAAGAAGTAGCTTTGTCTCTAGAAAGCACAGGAAAAAATTTCTTCATCCTATAAAGAGAACAATGAAACCATTAAAATTAGCTATTCACTCTATAAAGAAAATAATAAGAACAATTTATTGTAAAGAAAATATTTATGAGAAATTGAAATTTTACTTTTTTAAAACAAATTGGGGTTTTAGGGTTCAACTCAAATAGAACAAAAGAATAAGAAAATTTTGAAGTAGTTAGTTTACCTTTGATTTTCAATCACCCATAAACAATGCAAAATGGTGGAGTTATTAGATTAATGAGAGAAAGAGACAAATATGGAAGTTGGTGGGGTTTGAGAAGAAGAGAAAGGGTTTACTGTGTGAGAGAGAAAGAAATAAAAGAGAGAGAAAATTAAGAGATAAAAGTGAGTTGAAGAGTTATATAATATTAAATATTAAAATTAATTAATTAATTAAATATATATTAATATTAGAAAAGAAAAAAAAATCTGGTGTGGCTATAGCCACACCTAGCCTAAACATGGATCCGCCCATGATCTTAATATATGATCATGTAACACCCAAGATTGGGCCATATAAGTCACAAATGCGTATGAGGCAGCCTCTACTGCCGAGTACAACCTCAATCCCCCAGCTCTAATAGGTAAAGAAGCCATTATTCATTGAAGGCCCCTGGAGAAAGAACCTACACCAACCATGATGTCTTCAACCGCCCTTTGTAAATATTTATCAAACCAAATAGTTGCTTCCTCCATATGATTAGTGTTGTATCCTAAAATTTACCGTCTTCATTTCGACCTTTTTGACTTATATTTCATCATTAGATACATGCATATTATTGGTTCTATAGTTATGGGATCAAGGTATCTCTAGCAAGCCTCGTCAGATTAGAGGTGACATTTATTTCGTCAATGGATGTTCTCAGAGTATTTTCCATGTTGAAGATTGATTCGTCGTTTCGCAATGATTCGGAGTTCAAAGATTCACAAGTTCAACCTAACGCGTCATATTCAGGTGTTCTTTCGCCGAGATATCCTTGGTGACATATTCTCAAATTCATTTTTGGCTCGAGAGCCAATTCCTTAAAGAAATATGGTGAAAAAGTGTGCTGAAAGTGCAGTTCTTACGCACTAAAAAATTCATAACTTGAAGTCCGTGGCTCTTTTTGAACCCGTTCTGGTGGCAAAAATTCCT